TGCGGCAATGGGAGCCACCGTGGGAAAAAGCAGACGTTGTGTTGGAGGATAGAGGGGGAGTTTGGAGAGGGGTTTGGGGTGAGAGCCAAGCCAGACAGACCTTCCCAGTTCCCCAGGAAAGACTGGGCTCAGCTGGAGGTGCCCTTGGAGGAGATGGGCCCGAGGGGAATAAGGCAGGGAGGGGGAGGCAGGGCCATGCTGGCAAAGGCTGGGATTTGTCACCCATCCCACTCACCCTTATCCTGATTTTTCATTTGAATGTATCCAAAAGCATCGATTTCCCTCTTTCTTCGCTCTTAACTTGATTCTTCTCTTTTCTTCTTTGCCATGTATTTCCTTCTTTTCCCGCAGAAGCCTGAATTTTGAAGGTGATGGGAGCTCCCCAGAAACAACTGCAGCCAACCTGGAGGTGACCCAGGAGATGCAGGACGGAAAAGCATCTTCTTGGATGAAGGGACGAACCTGGGGGTGGTTTCCATGGCAGCACCTTGCCCTAGAACATGTGTTTATGATCCTTCTGTGTATTGTATTTTGGCATAAAAGCTCCTCTGCGCTGTCAGGGCTGGAGGGGCAGCTCGAAGGGCCCTGAGGGGGTTTGCAGCCCTCCTTGGCATAAGAATAGTGATGAGAAGCCAAAGTAATGTCGGTGCAGCAGCAGCCTCACCACAAGGGTTGCTGATCTCTTGCTTTCATGGTAAGCATAAATCTTTCCATGTAGTGCCATCATTAAAGAGTGTTCCCAACACAGCACTCATCCGGCCGGTCGATTTTAAACCCAGTTTTCCTAAGGCCTTATCCAGGTGCTTCAGTTTGCGCTTTCCCCTGATCCTGTGTTACATGTGGGTTTGGCCCATGAGGCCACAACTCATATTCCCCATGGGCAAAATAATCTCAATTATCTATGATACAATTATATGGTATAATAATCTAAATTACACATATATCTTAATTATGTTATACAGTCAGTCCCCTGGCATAAACAGAAATCCAGGTGGGATTTTTGTTTTCACTTGGTGTGGACTAATGTCTTACTTCGGGGCCAAATATCATGTTTTAAAGACTTTTGCTCCAACAAGCTGACAACATAGAGATATAAGGAAATTCTGCCTTCTGCCTACGATGCTGCAACAGCTGTGGAGGTCCAGCAAAATTCTGGCAGGCAAAATTCTGGTCATCCCTGTGACCTCTTGTACCCACTTCAGATCAAGCAGAGGTACAACTCTCGTGATGCTCAGATTTAAAACAAAGCTTTTCAGAACCGATTGGAGCAAAAAAAAAATCCTCGGAGGGTCACTTTGCAGCACGCAGGGAGGGAACAGGGCTGGTGCTGTGGTGCTGTTCCCTCCCCTCCCCTCCTCCTCCCTTTATTAAAGAGCAGAGAGCCCGAAGCCGACGGCATATTTACCTTCATGAGTTTTAGAAAAAGTTAATTACCGCTCGGAGCAAGTTGGTCGAGCTGTCCTGAGCTGTCTTTTATTAGTAGTCGCCTTCATTAATTTCCCTCGCTGGATTTGCTGCTAATAGCTGCCTGGTCCTGGGCAGCACAAAGCAGCATCTGTGCCATTGAGCAGAAAAGCGGGAGTCAGGCAAAGGGGGGCACTGGGGAGAGGGGGGGAGCGACGCCGTTTGCAAATCAACCTCTATTAACGTGATGGCCCGCTCGGAGGGGACAGCAGCCCCGGTAGCCTGCGCGGCAGTTTGGGCTTCACTTGGCTGTTACCGAGGGAGGAAAGGCACCTGCTGCCTGCCAAGGGGGGGCTGTGCCCCTTGCTAGGCTGCCTGGCACCTCTGGGTGCTGCCTGTGCCACCCAATCACCCCTTAATGCAGGAAGAAGCAGGATGCTGGACCTGCCTCTTATGGACCTGTGCTCCCCTTGGTGCTCCCTAGCAGCATTTAGCAGTAACCGTGGTGGCTTTTGGTGAGAGATAGGCTCTGTCTTAAAAGCAGCTTGGCAGAGAAGTTTGGGATTAGAGAACAGGATTAAGTTCTGTTAGGAGGGGGATAGAGGGCAGGCTGCAGGGGCTGGAGGCACCATGGGCTCACATGAGCCAGGGCAGCGGGTGGCTGTGGAGGCCAACAGCTCCATCTGCTCCTGTTCTGCCGAGGGAGAGGGGAGATGATTTCATCCAAGTGGAAAACAGGAGGGTGGTGTGTGTCATTGCCGGGAGAGGGGTGAGAGCAGCACACTGCTGCCAGCCTCCCTGCAGGGCTGGGGAAGGCACCCTGGTGCCTGCACTGGGACTTCCCTGGAGGCAGCAGGTGCCAACAGCAGTTATCAATACCTTGCTGCAAGTATCCCTGTTGTGGTTAGTGGGAAGGAGATGCCCAGGAGGAGGCTGGTGCTGCTGAGTTTTGCCAGGCAGCAGAGACTGGGCAGTGTGGACTGTGACTCTGTGCCTGCTGATGTGAGGCTTTCCCCTCAGCCCCCATGAACAGCTCAGTCTGGGAAAGGAGCTGTGCCTAAATCCAGCAGCTGGGCTCTGGGGGCAGCTGATGCTGGGTTTATGGCAGCAGGGATGTGCTGCCTCGCGTGCAGGGGCTGCCTCACAGCTGGAAAGGTCACCTCCGCTGGCCGTAATGGCCTGGGATGCTGCTGGCTCAGGGGGAGAGGGAGGAAGGCAAGCCTGGCGTAGCCCTGTATTGTTGGGCTAACTGAGGGGCTCCCTTTCCACTGCCTCTTTTCTAAGAGAAATTCCCCACAGCGCTCCACAGGGTCATTAGTTACAGGCAAGAGTGAGACAATCATTCTACCTGTGGCTAGCAGCCCTCGGTCGCATCAGCTTGTTACCTCCATATCAAACTGACTAACTCTCCTGACACGCAGCCATGGAGACTCTGCCTTTCACTTGGACACCTGCAGAAAGGCAAGCGGGAAACACCTCTTGAACCAAACACCGTCCCTGAAGGATAGCAAAGTATATCACCAGCCTGTCAAGAGCAGGATGGTTCTGTGCCTGACTCACTGCAGCGCTTACATGGGGTATAAACTCAAGTCCTTGAGTTAGCTGAGAGGAGAAAATTTTCATGTTCCCTTAGACCTGATGTCTACAGGTGATTAGTTAATACAGTTAATATTTCACTGTCCCAGCACATCACATTTCCACTCAGGTTGTAGAGACTTGGCCCTTATTGGTCACACTTAGCACTTAGATTGGAATTTGGAGTGTTATAATTAATCAAGCCCAAAAAGTATCTTGGTAGAAAGTTACTTAATATGAACCACTGAATTTCCAATAAAAAATTCCCATTTCTCATAAAAAGAAAAGTATTATCTAAATCTCAAGGGGTTCAAATGACTTTATTTTGAAACCAGAGGCAATAACAAAACAGCAATTTTTTGATCTAAGATGAAAATTCCAGCTAAAATATTGGTTTCTCCTTCATGAGAGCCAACTATTTATTTCCCTGATAATCCCCTATTTGTACCACAAATATGAATCAATTATTTAAGATGTGTGTGTTTGGGGCCATGTGTGTGTGTCCACGCTCTTCAGGCGATGAGGTTATAGAGCACAATAATCCATGATTTCCAGCATCCAAGCCCTGGGTGAAGACAAGAGTGCCTGATACCTCTGTGCCCAAGCCTGTAAAGAGCAAGACCAGTAGCATGTGATTCCATGCCTGTTTTAGCAGGGAGCTGGACAGGCTGATCCTTGACACTTTAGCCAAAACTTCGGCTGAGACAGCAAAACGTTTGCTACGAACAACAAAAGAAATCAGCTCCTAAATGCACATATTAGGAAGAAAGCAAAATGCTCAGATTTCCCATGGCTGGATTAATTCAGGAGCACATCTAACTAGATTTTCTTTTGCCCCCTTTGAACAGGAGGAAGCTGGAAAAGGCATGACTTTTCAGGGGTCCTGAAGCTGCTGTCGGTGCAGACAGTGGCGAGGCCGGCTGCTGGCGGCACATTAGGACACTTTGTTCCACAGAGATTGTCCAGGAGGTTTTGTTTTGCTTTTAATTGTCTCTATAGAGCAGGGAAAGCCTCTGCAGAGAGGCTTTAACACAGCATCTCTGCCACCCATTAATTCCCGGGATCTTGCTAACTAGCTTTGTTTCCCTCTCCACACTCGGCACGTTCGCCGGAGCACGGAGCTATGTGTTCACAGCGTTTGTCACTTGGTTAAAGGCAGCATTTCCTCACTGCTGAGGAAAAGGACAGCCTTTATTGGCTGCACAACAAGATAACAGGGCTTAATCTTCCCAGTAACACGTGAGTTTTGGTGTATCACTTTAATCTGCGAGACACTGGGGCCGAGTGTACCGTCACATGCCGATTTCACTGTTGTGTGAACGAGCGGCTCCCCCGGCTCAATGATGGATTGTTTGCTGGCTCTTTACAACAGGCAAGATGCTGAATGCCCTGGGGTGACAGACAGTGTGCAATGGGAACGGCAGCAAATCTGATGGCCTGGTTCAAGTTCACCTGACAAAGCTGGAGCAGTCTGTGAGCAGAGCTCGAGAAAGGATTATTCACACTAGCATTATATTTTTGAATGCATTTCTCTCCCCATGCAGCTGCACAGCTCCCCAAGACTGAAGGTTTATGCACCATAATAAAGAGATTTAATTTTGTGTTTTTCTTCTGCTCTTGCTTCTCCCTCTTTACACCTAGTTCTAATCGGGTGGTGCAGGGACAGGGCATCTTTCCAAACAACTCGGCACAAACATCACCTAGAAAACAATGGCATCGCTAAAACGCAGGGACAAAAGCCTAAGGAACTCTGCTGGCTGCAGAAACAAAAGAGGGGGGGTTGTTAAAGGCAAGTCTGCTGGGGATCCATCTTTTCTTTTTGTGGAAGTTGGATGCTGTGTTCCCTTTCTCATGGGGAAAATCTCCCCAAAGAAACCATCCCGGCCTGTGCGCTCGGGGGCAGTGGGACATCAGGGGGAGGAGGATGGGAAATGAAGACAGCTTTTTGCTGCTCCTAAGGATGTGTAGGATAAAACTGTCCAGCTCATGGGACACACACGGTGGGACTGACCTGTGTGAGTCTATGCTGGCAGCTCCACTGAGGGCCTTGTCAAGGACAGGCGGCGACAGATCTCATTGCACTCCATGTGCTGATCATTAAAGAAGTAGTAAATTCCTTCCTTCCCAAAGTTGGAGCGTGAGACATCTCTGCTATTCAGAGAATGGATCTGGGGGTCTGTGAGGTAGATGAGGCCTTTCCCATTCCCTGTCACCCAACCTGTGGAGGAAATGATACATATTGGTATCAAACATCACAGCCTTTGTACTATCATACCCAAGACTCTCTTCTTGGTACAACCAACCCTTGGTAAAATCACTTTGGTGATTCTCATTTTGCACCTACATCAGCAAAAGCTGGACCCTAAGAGGCACTTAATGAATATGGAATGAAACTGATCTCCCAAAGATACCTGTGTGCTAAAGGTTGAGTCTGAAAGGCACGAAGTTCACTGTAATACACACCTTGCAGGTCAACGACGACGTCTGTGCCGTTGGAGAACTCATAGGAGAAGTGGCCATAAGCCAGGCCATACTCTGTGGCTTTGTACTCGTTCTTGACTACCTTCTTGTTGTTGGATAACTTCACAAAGTCCCCAAGGATGTAGGGCTCCACAGTCACACAGCCTTTTATAGTTCTGTCTTCCAGGATCTGAAATGAGGCAGCCTCATTGTTGGCATTTTAAGATGAAAATTGACTCAAGAAACTCTTCCCCTCAGTTCCCCAGAATACAGTTCTTACCAGGAGTACTGCAGATGGGATGTAAAAGATCTGGGTAGGGATCTTTTGCTCATACAGCCTCTTGTTGAACTCTGTCACGTAGTACTGGGCAGTCATCTGCCTCTCCACGTCACTGAAATGATGGAGGAGTCCTTTTTCTTTTTTATATTCCTTCCCAACATACCTAAACAGAAGGAGAAGTGTTTGTTCCATATGTTTTGACAATGTAAAGCAGAGCTTGGCTGTTCAGAAGCAAATTAATCTGTGGGTGATGCATTTAAAATGGCAATGATGAAAGTTGCTTGGGTTTTTGTGTTTTCTAGCTCTTACAGGTGAAAAATTATCAATCAAATTTTGGGACGGAGGTCTCATACCACTGGAATTTTTAACTCAGTTGTTCTTGACTCTGAAGGGACACCCCACTCAGAGGTATTGATATGCTGTTCTCAACCCATCATCATTCATAATGATCCTAATAATGATCTAAACTCTGAAATTAGCTGTTAGAAGACAACAGTGAGGTGGCTTTTCTTTCCCAGAAAATGAAAATGTGGAGTGATTGTCAAAATGCCCAAGAGATTTGGGAAAGCCATAAAATATTCCTTTTATTCCTTTTTACACAGAAGCAGCACTGATAAAGATCTTGTTCCAGAAATCAATTTGGTTCATACCTTCCCAGGGTTTCCTCTTGGTGCAGGAAGTGTATCCAAAAGGCTCTTCTCTGCTTTCCTTCATTTGCCACCCTGAGGTAGTCCCCAATGAACACAGCTGTCTCCTGAGCTGTCCACAGGCCAGATTTCTTGGAGTATTTGAAAAGAAGAGCAGCTAGGAAAAGAAAACACCACAAGTAGAATGGACAATCCCATGGGACTGATCCAAGCCTGTGCTGAGGGATGGATGTTACTTATGATTAGCTTAATAAACATAGACAGTGTTCAGGGGTGGAATGTGGAATCTAAAGGGGCAACAATAAAAGTAATGGGGTAGAAACCAACAAAAATTAAATGCTAATGAATGCTGACTAAATTGAGAAGCCTGGGTCAAGCCAGATCTCTGGGAGGGAACCTGTTGCTGCATGGCAATGCCCAGCACGGTGTGGGAACTTACAGTATGTTTTACAGAGCTCTTTGGGCTTAAAAATCCCAGTAGGCAACAGTCTGTTGACAAGCCAATTATGCTCCACTCCTGCCAGAAGCTGCTTGTAGTCCTCATCCCTCAGAAATCGAGCATCAGGTGTTTCTTCCTGCCTTCTCCCAGGCGTGAAGGCAAAGCCACTTCCCCTTGGGATCAGAAGTGGACCTTCAGGGGAACTCGCGGGCTTCTGTGACAATTTGATCCATGAACTCGGAGGTGAATTGCATTGTCTCTTGCTGCTCACCATGTCCTGAGGCTTCTCTTCGCCTTCCTCAGTGGTGGCACACTCAAATTGTTCGGTTGTGGGTATCTTTCCCCCCGAGGGCAAAGCTTTTGGTGCACAGGGAACTGCTTGATGCATTGGAGCATAATTGTTTACTAAGTCTCCAACAGTGATGATATCAAATTCTGTGTCATCTACAGTTTCTGCTTGGGTGTCAACTGTGGGCACTTGGACAGATCTGTCCCCCACCAGGGCAGATTTCCTCAGCCAGTCACACACAGAGGCATCACTGCCTAGTTTTGGCTTGATGCTCCTTGAGAGTACAGAAGCACTCCCATGTGTGGGAGGCTGTGCCGCAAACGAGGGATCCTCTGTGCTACCTGCAGGTCCTCCTGGGTGGACACACTCAACATGGCCAACACCTCCCTCCCTGCTGCTGTCCTTGGTCCTGCAGCCCAGATCCACATGGGAGGACTTCTCCTCTGAAGTGGTAAGAATAGAGTAAGAGGTGGAAAGGGAAGTAAACACATTATTCAGGTCCTTTGCTTTCTTTTCTGAAGAGCTCCTTCCATGGTGTCTTCCCCCCTGCAGTTCTTCTCCACAGAGAGATGACTTTTCCACCGTCCTCCCAGCTCGATATGCACCTCCTTCAAAGGAAGGCTGAGGAGGTCCCCCACAGCTACAGAGAGGCTGCTGAAGAGCAGGATGCCAGGCTCTGGGAGGCAATGAGAGCAATGACATGGCTTGGCCATTTTCTTCAGTTTCTGTGGTGCAGCACTGCTCCTCCACCAATCCCTTCTCCCGCTGCTGCTCTTCCCTGAGAGACTCTCTGCTGCTACCACGGTTTAGCTCCTCCCAGCTGGAAGAGTAACTGGATTTTGACAGTTTGCACCAAGAGCTGTCAGAACTAGTGGTTTGACTCCTGTTTTGCCCACTGCTGAAAACGCCACTTTCATCATTTACTTCCATTCCTAATGGCTCAATCTCTTCTTCAAAGGAAATTTTCATCACACCAGAACAAATGCCTTGATTTCTCAGGCCACTGAGTCCCTCTGAGCTGCTTCCTGCTGCTGCTGAGTCCAACATTTTCACAGCTCCTCCCCTCTGGTGAACTATTTCTTCAGTAGTGCACACAGTGTCTGTGGTTTTGGTCTCTGTCCTTAAGGTTGTGATACAAGCTCCCACCTGGGATTCTCCTGGTGTGGCTTTGTGAATCCTGCAAGACTTTTCAAACACTTGGCACACTGACAAGTGATGCTGAGAATGCTTGGCAAGGATTTTCTCAAAGCTGGCTTGCCCTTGCAGGACAGGTTTTTCCACTGTGCCTTTGTAACTGTCTGGGACATAAGACCTGGCATCGGAATTAGGGAATGTCTCCACACACAGGCGCTTCTTCACAGATGCAATCAGAGCCATGATCTCTTTGGCAAGTGTGCCTTTCTCTTCCTCTCCTGCAAATGAAGTGCTGTATGAGTGCAGCTTGCCCAAGGCTTCCCTGCACAGCTGACTGACCTTCTGGAGCTCCTCACTCTCTCCATGGAGCCATCGGTGCACAGTCATGAGGCAGAAAGCAGCTTTAATAAAGCTGTGGAGCTCCTGCTTGCTGGTGATGGGGCTCTGGTTGTTCTTGGTGAGGAGGCCAATCTCAAAGGATTCTTTGGCTTCAGACAAGTAGAACTGTCTCTTTTCTGGGGGACAGTCCTTGGAGTGACTGTAGGACAGCAAACACATCCCACGGATGTTCTGGGAGGAGATCAAAGAGGAATGAAGGAGTTAAAGCATGTTTCTTTCCCTTACACAATTTGAAGCAAACATTGGCTCTAACTGCCAGAGGAAAGAATAAAAGAGGAAACAATCTTCCTCTTTTTCCTTTGAAATAGAGCTGTAGGTATAGGAGAAGCAGCATTCCCAGGGCTTGAAAGCCCATCCTCACTCTGTGGACAGCTTTCCACTCATCTGCTTAGCTCCTGATCAGATTCAGATCAACATATAACCTTGTACCACAACATGGACACGATGCCCTGTGTGACACAGCGTTTGAGAGCCTGACTGGAGCCACATTTAACAGCCTGGACTCTTTCCATACACAATTCCCACTTCCAGAGTGAAGACTAACACTTACCACGGCTGTGAGGACAAACAGAGGGGTGTACTGGCTGTAGGCTGCTGCTAGCTTGCAGGCCTGGGCAGCAGATAACAAGCGATGGTTGAACCCTTGGAGGAGGCTCTAGTGAAGTGAAGAAAAAATGAGGAAAAACCTTATCTCAAAGGATTTCTTTCCAAAGAGATGAGACCTGGAAAGCAGGGATGTCATATTTTAATCAACAACCAGGTCTTGCTCAGGTTTACCATGGATACAACACTTTTTGACCCTATAAATACTCTGTATATTACACAGACATACACATTCTGTATATCCTCTCCATGTTTTCCTTTTCCTGAAGCAAGGCATTCCCCCATCTAGGTGCTAATGAACTTTTTCACCAGGAGCAATGGAAGTTCTTTCAGCCCTCTCAGCACAGGAGAGGAAATGTAGGAAGAATAAAGCATGGGGGAATTTGGGACAACAACATATTGCTCACGTGAACAACCTCCACATACAAATCTCAACCAAGTCTCACCAGGTCAATGTCAGCATTGATTTTAAAACGTGCATAATCCTGCTCATTCATGGAAGCAAAGATGTCTGCCATAATTCCCAAGGAAGTAGCAATTCCCTGAAAGAGATTTGAGAAAAGATCATAGTGTTTTTCCCCTTATACTTTGAATTTTACTGCTCTGCATAAAGGAGGTTCTGTGTAGAACATGCCAGGAAAAAACCCACAAACCAAACAAGATGCATTGCTAACAAATTCAGAGACATCATCTTGGTATGGTTTTATTAATTTCAACTTGCAGGAAGTGTAATCTGGAAGATTTGATGGTAGCTGAGGATCTGCCCAGATAAATAGTTAAGGAAGCCAGGAAGTATCCATATGCTTTCCACAGAATTCACCACACATTTTGCTCCCACAGAAATAGAGAACATGGAAACGTTCTGAGCTTGAGGTCAAGCTTTAAGGCATGGCAGAGGAGAGGTGAGGAGGTCTGGGTTTGGGGTATATTTTATGCTGGGCTCCAATTACAAAGCCTCTCCAAGCATCACCCTAGGACTTGCCAGGCTTAGGTTCACATTCCTGTTTAGCTATGGACACATGGTGTGAGTGTTACTTTAGCTCCAGTGGGAAGATTAGTGCTGCCAAGCCTCACAAAGGTGTAGAGACAGGTATGGTGGCTGCTGTTCAGGGCATGCAGTGATGGGAAGTCCATCACCTGCCACAGACAGTGCAGAGCATCTCAGCAAATATACATTGTTGGTTACTGGGGAAAAGAATTGATCTGAATCCCAATAACTAAAACCTATGGCTTCATTCTGGGATTAGTCAGTCCTTGTTGGAGGCACCTGTGATACCCTCAGTGGTGGCTCACTTCAGGTGGTTCTGCTTAATGAGAAGTATGAGTTCCATTCCCCTGGAGGAGGAAAGGTGTCGGTGAGCCCGTGCATGCATGCGGAAACAACACGCAGGACACGCTTTGTCCTGCCTCTTAGCCTTGTCTCAGGTGTGTAATTGAAACATTATTGCTTGGAGGGCTTTGCTGAGGTCAACAAAAGCTAATCTGGAATGATGATTGGATTGGCAAAGGATATCCAGAGCGGAAAGGAAATAGTACCTTTTTATCTGGCTGAGGAAGTTGGAAGTATCCCACGACTGAGGCCCAAATCAACTCTGCTGCCTCATACCACATCCCTGGAATAAATCAGGAGATAGTCACTGAGCAATGGCTTTCCATAGGTGATTTTACTTCTCCTTGAATCCTCAAAACAGCATAAAACCATACCATGGCACATTTTGCTTCGGCAACACTGAACATTTATCACTTTCCTTTAGCTTTTGCTTGTGCATAAACACATTTTATCCTCATGAGAAAACTTCAGCTCAACAGCCATGGAAGAGTTTGGTTTCAAACCAAAAGCACAAAATTAAGGCTGTTGCCTCAAATGCCAAACCCTGAAAGCCTATAATGCTGAAAATCAGTGATTTTCCTACTTTGAGAGAGGAAAGTGCTGTGACACATCGGTGACCAACTCCTGCCTGCCTTTGGGAGCAGCGAATTTGGGACAAACATGGAATAGCACAGGAGAAAAGGGAACTTTTCAGATTGCTCCTTGACTTCTGGGGAGATTAGTTACAAAATTATGATTTCTGAAATGTGTTTGCTTGGTACAGGGTTGGTCCAGGGCTCCAGGTCCTTGCTGGAGAGAGATGGGTGTGCAACTCATCTTCTGTGGCTGTTTTATGGGCATGGAGTGTTCAGCACAGGCCAAAGCTCTGACTTGGGCCCAATATAACATTTTAAAGGGAAAAATGGGGAAAAACTTGAGTGGGTGTTTATAACAGAGCCTTACCAAGCTTTTGCAGAATCTGCCCCCTGATTTGTAAGCAGACTGCCTGGACAAGAATCCGGTCGCTCTCCTTTGCATATTTCCAGGTACCTGCAGAAAGGGTGGAAAAACTCAGTGAAGAGTGAAAACTCCTGTGTCATTTTCATCATTTTAAACCTCCAAGGATAGCCTAAATCCCAGTAAACTGCCAGAATTCTCCCCTTTGCATGGAGACCTTTTGTGTGTGAGACTCTCAGTTCCACACGAAACAAAATGCAGAAGAGGTTTCCTAAATTTTCACAGTTGTGAGGAAACCTGAATATATTGACTAAATAAACCCTGAAGGCTCAGAAAATGGAGAACAAATATAACCCCCTGAAATATATTGTCTCAAAACCATAACTAAATAGTATTGATACATGGCTGCCAAAATTAATGAACTTTTACTATTAACTATAAACCCTTACTTACTACTACTACTACTACTACACCCCTCCAGATCCAAGAGAAGACACACAACCAGCAGTAGAGTCATTGGACAGAAAGAGAAGGGGGAAAGTCTGGAATAAAGCATTCATTTAGTTTGTAAGATCAGTGGGAATCTGGAGGATGAGCATTACTCCAATCACCTGGATTTTTGAGGGGATAGAGAGTTGTCTTTGTTCTCTAGACCAGTCAATTGCTTGAAATTGATCCACATTTTAGACCTCTCGATCCTGGAGTGATGTGAAGTGATGTGAAGAGATACAAGGATAAGTTATGGAAATTTCAAACCGAAGTAATTTTTCCACATTTTAGCAATGGTGAAGGAAACAGAACTGTGATGTAAGGAGCAATTACTGGGGTTGGTTTGGCTGTATTTGAGGTTTGTGGAACTGTTAAAATTAGGATCAAAAATCCCACAAAAGTATGAAATTTGAAGTGTGAAATTGAAAAGAAATACAAGCATACCTGTTGCTCCATTGTCATTAATGAGGCTGCTTAGGATGTATTCAGCTTTTAAAAGTTTACCTGATTGAAAATTAAAGAAGAAAAGGATATGAAATCAATATAAAAATGTATTCTGTGGCATAATGAGAACAAAAATATTCATCAGATATCACCTGCACATAGATTTGCAGCTGCCAACAGTCAGAAATTCAAATGCACTCTGTCCTGTAACATGTGGCTGCACAGTGAGGTGAAATTGTGCCTATATCTGGTTTATTTTACACATTATACATGTCTGGAAGAGGGTTTAAAATGTGAGGAAGTCTCCCTTGAGCCAAGCTCTGGAATTCCTGTTGGATTTCTGTGCTTGCTGTCTGTGTTCTGTCAGTAAACTGACCACAGGGAGAAAACAACAGGAGGAGGAGGCTAAGGCTGCATGCTGGTTTTAGAGCAAACCAAAGCTTCTCCCTCTGCTCCTTCCCATTCCTTGGGCTGCTGCAGGATTTGGAGCAGGAGAGGTGGCAACAAGAGAGGCACTGAGCTGGGATTCCCTGCTCTTATCTCTCTTCCAGAAGAAAGTAGTCTAGGCTGCTTTCTTCAGCAGCAGAACTGCTGGATTCTGTCCCAATGGGTTTTGGAAACCCATTTTGGTCTCACTGGGGAGTGACTTGACATCCCATCACAAACAGCACAGCCACAGGGAGATGCATTAAAAATCCTTCAGGTGTTGCCCACGTTCTAGGAAGATGGTATTGTTTAAATCAGTTTATCTTCAAGGGGCTATAGCTGTGTTGTTTGCATAGTCAAGTGGTCCCACTGAAAACTGAAAAGCAGCTGGGACAGTGCAGAGAAAAATGCCAGGATTCCAATTTCCCTTTTTTTTCCAAGGCCCTTGCTCAGGAGTACAGCAATTCACACACCCCTGTTTGAAACCAGCAGGGAAGATTTGTTAAGGAACAAAAGCTCCAATTAGTATTTTCCACACCCTTTCACAATTTTCCCTCCTTGCTTTTGCCTCTGAAACCCTTTATAGCAGCCCCTTTGTGCTAGTGAGAGGAGCTGGGAGGGCTCAAGGGGGCTGGGAGTGGGATGGGAGGTTGGAAAGATGGCACTGGGGCTGGGAGAATGTCATCCTCAGAGAGGGACAAATTCTTCTGAGTCAAGTGGTTTGTACTTGGGCTGGAGCTGAGCAAGCAGAGCAGTACCTGTGTTGACAGCGAGGCGAGCCTGGCGGATGAGCACCTGAGGACTGATGGGTGCAGCAGGCTGCAGTCTGTGCAGGCCCTTGGCAATCCGGAGGAGTGAGCTGGAGGCATCAATCCAGTACAGGAATCTGTCAATCAGGAACACAACAGCAGTAGCTGTGGCACAGTCCTTGGCCACGATGGAGGCTTTCAGATAAACCTGCAAAAGAACACAGGTAGCCTTAGAGACACTCACCTCCAGAGACTCAGGCAGCTGGAAAACATTTAGCTTCTCAGCCCTATTCCTCACATTAACCCTATTCCTCAGCCTAGTTTCATTTTTAGGATAGGAAGCTGCCAGCTGTTATTTTTGTGTGAGCTGTAGATATCATTCCGGATCTTTTGGGGTCTTTCTAATTGTTTATTCTTTTGAACCACACAATTTGGTGATCTGCTAATGGATTTAAATCATGCCCCACAGATTACTCCCATAAATAGTAACTAGTTAAAAGGGGGATGTGAGTCTGGGAAGACTGGAATGGTCACTATAGGCCAGATGGAGCTTGAGCCATCCATTCCTTTGTACATGCCAAACGGGCAAACAGCTAGGAATCCAATGTTTTTCCCCTGCAGGACATCTTTAATGATTACATGGCACATGGTGTGATTGTTGGGGATGTCCTGTGTAGGGCCAAATGTTGGACTTGATGATCCTTATGGGTCCCTTCCAACTCTGCATGTTCTGAGATACTAAGTCTCTATGAACTCTCCTGGATTCCCAACTGGTTGAGCCATCAGCACACTAAGGAGCCATCAGAATTCCTGATGTGCATGCTGTTAAGAGGACAGAAGGCCAGTAAAGACAGCCCTAGCAGAAGTCCACAAGGACGTGAGGACATCAGCTAAAACCCAACCCGTGGTAAGCAGGGATTGGTATCCTCAGGTCAGCACTTCCTAGCCTGTTTGCACTTCAGTGAGGCAGATTTGTACAAATTTCCTTCCCTTTTTTAAATTTTTTCCCCCCTGAGTCCCAGTTGGATTTTCTAAGAGGATGGCACTTGAAAAGGATTCCTGGAGCCAACAATGGAGGAATCCCCCTCTCCAAGCACCTGTAAACTGACACTGCAAACCAGCCACCCCAAATGCTCATCAACAGGCCATATATTTAAGCACAGAGCATCGCCTAATCTATTTTTTCTTCCTCCCCTTCTTCCTTTAATAGATGGGAGCACAAAAGCCTGAGAGAGGGTGACCTACCAAACAAAAGAGCCTTTGAGTCCCTAGGAAAAGTAGACTTGGAGGAGGATGGAAGGAATCCAAGTGGCCCTATTATTTCCACTTGCACTAATTAGACATTTTTCTGTCAGCTATTGAGCACTGCTGAGAGGCCAAACTCACTGAATTCATTTCTAAAGTGTTTACAGAAGTTTGCATCTGTTTGTGTCTCTTCAGGAGGAAAATAAGCACTTCAATAGCATTGTGGAAAATCTAAACGAAGCATCCTATTCTGAAGGGCTTGGCAGGCTTGCAGCTGCATAATTTAACTCACTGCTCAATGCTGAAACCTCTTGTGTCCCTCTCCAAACCCAAATGGACACAAAATGTGGAAAAGTCAAGCCGGGGGAAAAACTGGGATAGGTTTTTTTTCCAAGACAGGGCTGCACGCTGTGTGGCACACAGCAGCATGGTCTGGTGTCAGCCTTTGGAACCGTGTTCCCCCCTTTCCCAAGCAGGACACCAAGAAATTCATACCCACTCCTTTCATTCCCTGCCAACTCGTGTGGCTGGAGAATTCCTCAGCACCTCCAGCCAATGCACAGGAGTGCTGGGCACGCACCCAAGCCACGCACAGGGACACCCTCCCCAAGAGGAGCCAGGGGAGAGGCTCCCTGTCACCTAGCCCAGACCTAGGGAAACCCCAGTGATTCCCAGGATGTAACAGCACAAGCAGGAACTGGTGCCCTAAACAGATTACTCACTTTCTTGCTTGCTTTGGAGCAGAATAGGCACATCCACAGAGAGAGAAAGAGTGAGGCACACACACTTTGTTTTCACATCTGTGCCCAGGATGTGAAATGGATCTGTCTAATTGAGTTTATGCCACAAAGGGAAGCTCTGTGGCTGGGAAGTGGAATCAGGTGGTGGGAGAATTAAATTTGCAGCGGATTTCTATACATGGACCCATTGGGGAAAATGCAAAGCAGCCCTTTAGTGAAGGGGTTTCGCCTTAATGGTGCTGAGTGGGAGGGTGTGCTGTTTGCATGGTTCCCTGCATTAGTGGGTTTAGCTCCTCCTCACACCAGGGCTGAAGTTTGGGTCTCAGCTTTGGGTTCAAAGCCACGACGCCTCCTTTGCATTGACAATGGGGGCTGCTCCCAGGAGAGGGGAGAAGCTCAGAACTGGGGCCATCTGGCACTAAGGACTGGCAGGGCAGCGTCAAAGGGAAATTATTGGTGCATAGTAAATGAGGATGAGGAGGAGGGGAAGGAAATCGGGGAAAATCTTTATGTGGCAGCTGATGGAAGAGGAATTACAAGCCCAAATAAATGAAATATTGATTTAATCCACTCTCTCAGCCCTCTTTATAAAGCAAAGATCCCAGAGGCAAGCCCTCCTCCACAGCCTGGGGGCTTGGGAGGATCTCCCTTGGAAAAACACCTCTGCAAACAACATGGTTAGAAAGTAGGGCCAGGAATCATTTCATTTTCAGAGTGTCACTTGCAGACACTCTAGACTCATGTGTTTGCCTATATCTATTCATCTCAGACTGTTTCAGCCCATGTTTCATTTCTAACTGCAGCTGAGGTTTAAAATCTGCTTAAACAATCGAAACCCAAGAGCAGTTGGAACAGGATTTCTAACTCCATGCACAAGGCAGGAGTTCCAGTGGCAAAGGATTTCTAACTACATGTACAAGGCAGGAATTTCAGTGGCAAAGGATTTCCAATTCCATGCACAAGGCAGGAGTTTCAGTGGCACACACATCCTTCCAGGTGCTTTAGTGCTCTCCCAAGAGCTGCTCCTAGTTAGCACTCCACTGAACCCTAACAAATTGCCCAGTTTTCCTTCCCCCTGCACTCGTCCCCTGTCAGATTAGACACAGAGCCACAACACCGACGGATGAGGCTCAAGCCTTTCCCCCTCTTGCCCCACGCGCCTGTCTTTCCAAGAGACCAAAGCTGCTGTCACTGCACGAGACTTCTCTATCAATCCCTGCCTTTCAGCTGGCAATCAGAGCCCACTCCACAAAAAAACAGGGAATTAAGCCTCCTGCCACCTCGGTGATGGGCAGGAGAAATAGCGTCTGAGGGGGCAGACGGATACGCCTGGAACAAGGGACAGCCCCACAGTAAATCGCTGCAGAATGAGGCATCAGCAGTTCCTGGACACTTTCCTCCCTGCTCCAAGCAGCACAGAACATCATTTAATGGCTCCTGAGGCTGTTAATTAGCTCAAGTTATTCATCCTGCAGGCGATAGAGAGTTGGGTGTTTATTCAATGGCAGTAGCGTTAGGTCCATTGTGAGCAGTTCAAAACACCACAGAATGGGTCAGGTTTTACAGCCAACTGTTTCTTGCTTCACCAACTGAGGAAGTCCTAGAGGGGGAATAACTCCTGCTTTCCTCGAGGGAAAAAGGACAGCAGCGTTTTGGGGAGAGGAAAGAAGCTGAAGCCTTCAAAGTGCCCAGGAAGCTCCTCAAAGGGGAGTTCTTGGGGGCCTCATATGTATCCGAGGTAGCAGAGGTTTGGGGGAACAGTCATCTGCAGGAGTTCCTGCTCTTCACTAGTACCAAGGATCACTTTGTGGCCCTGATTTGTTTGTCCTGCTGTGCTCCAGCTCTAGATTATTTATAAACTCTTGTGGCACATTAAAACACTGTGTGAAGGGGACATTTTAATACTTATAAACAGCACAATGCCAGTGACAGAACAACCCACCCCCAGACCATTATCCACAGCTAAAAATCCCAGAGTCCTAAATCTGTGCCCTCAAAACATCAATCCATTTGAGCAGCAGCTTAATTTGGAAGGAAAACACAGCATAGCAATCTCAGGAATACATTAAAAGTGCTTTCCAGGGAGGAAATGCTCCATGAAGTTGCATCCAAGAAGAAGAAATCCTACCCATGAGTAAAGTGAAGTGACAGCCCAACAGGAACTCAGGATCAGGCTTCCCATCTTTTTTTATTTGGTGCTCCATATAAAGTCTGCTTTAGTTTTCCCACACAGGGAAGATGGAGAGCTCTGCAGCACCAGGGCAGCTAAAGCTCTCCTGCCTGCATCTGATCTCTGATCCTTCTCATTTACAAAGCCTCAGGGAGGTTGAGGTGCCACAGATTCCCTCTTGGCTCGAATTCATCCCTTACATCACTCTGTGTTTCCCTGGGATCACCCAAGAAGAGCTCGGAGGAGGCAGGTAGCAAAAGGTCAGCCTGAGCAGCCACGATCCCAGGGCTACGATTTAGGGCTTTAATTCTCCTGTTACCACACCGACAGTTAGAAGGAGGAGAAAAACTAAATCCTCAGCCCCCTCTTTAGTTCTTTTTCAAAGGCTCCCAAGCTCTGGAGTGCCACACACACACCTACGGCAGTTAGGGAATGTCCCTCGGAATGGTTTCCCTAATGGCAATCCATCAGCACCTAATTAGCCAAGGCCCAGGCAAGGGCTGCAGGGCCTTATTTTCTACTCCTTTCAATATTCCCATTAAATCCCATGAGATTCTGTGCCAGCAGGGCTAGGATCTGTGCATCCATAGCAGGGAGCAGGGACCCATCCTGCACAGCGGGTGCAGAGGGACCTGCTGTACCTCCACTCCTGGGTGCTTTTCCTTATCTATTCCCACTGTTCCTATCCCAGCAGATCCTGGTCCATGGCTGAATGCCTGGCTGCAGGAGCTGTTGATATGTGTGATAAAAATGAAGTAGACAAGCTCTGATCGTGCATAAGATAACTAAAATATTGATGTGGAATGACTCATCTCACAAGAGAACTAGTGTGCATAGAGTTGTCCTTCAGCTACACCCACAGCAGGGTTTTTGGGTTCAAAGCCTACGTGGATATGGACATGTTGCCCTCTATTGGCTGCTTATCGAGCAGAAGGCTAATTCCATCCCTTGGGATAGCGAAGATTTGCAGGAAGGACACCCTGGCATCTTCCCTTTTGGATCCTCAGCCCCATTCCAAACCCCATAGAGAAGAAGTGATCCCTCCTTATTTATCCTTGCCAAGGATTCTGTGACACTTCTGATTTAGCTTTGACTTGTTCCAAACAATAATCCCAGAGCTTCCCAGTTTTGGATACAGATGTTGGTTATCACCCCTGAAGTCTCAGTGCAGATTCCCATCACGAGGGTTTGGTTTGCTAGCCAATGGCAGCCAAAATACGTTGGGAAAAGGTGGAAAACATTATGTTGAGCCTGTTGAACTGGGGTGGCCTTTTGGTTGGGAGGTGAATCCTGGCAGGAAGAAGCAAAACACCCCAAAAATCCAGACCAAACCCTCAACTTTCTATAAGATGCAAAGCAGTACTGAGCAAGGCGGAAGAAGAGCACCTTAAAAAGCTGCAGGTGCAGGTGCCTTTGCCTCCTGGATATGCCAAAGGAGTGTGCAGCCTCCAGCAACACATTTTTTAAAGTGCAACAACACTAAGGCAAACCCTTGAAGCCAAAGCCTAATCCTCTTACTCCCTGTGCTGGGCTCATGGAGCTTTTGAGCCTCCTCCCGGAGTAAAACATCCTCATGGAGAGCTCTAGTAGCACAGTGCTGCCTCCTTGTAACACCACCAGTGTGTTATGGTAATGAAGTGCTTTTCATTCCTGGATCTCAAAGCACTTTTTAAATGTAATGAATTTACGGTTTATGAGCTTATTCTGAGCATGGCAAATTAAAATAAACAGAGAGGAGAAATTTTAAAGGTTTTTTTAACCCTGAACAATAAATTGACAAAGGCTTATTTTTTTTTGTCCTCCAGAGAATTAAATTATCCTTCTGTCCCTCATGCCAAAAAAAAAAAAAAAGGAATAAAAAAGTTGCTTGGACTTTTATCTTTCCTCATCACACTGTAATCACTTCTCTTCAGCCTCATTTCCCCCCCAGCTTTTTATTCAAAGAACTGAGGCAGCCTTGAAATTTTATTTCAAGGGGGGGGAGAAGGAATGGATGAAGGGGAAAAAAATCCCTTTTCCTGACTAATACTAATAATACAGGTCAAAATGTCAGTCTATCTACAATTAAATGGAAAACAAAAAAGGTTTTCCCTTTTTCCCATGGTACAATGGCACTGGAATATAAATTACCGATGAAGATGAAATAATACTTCAAAGCACATGGGGAAAGGCAGCACAACGTTTTACAAAGTATTTTCCACCACAGGATGAAACATTGAAGACAACAGCAACCAATGGACTTCAGGGGGTGTGGGTGAATAGCCCAAAACTAGCATGCAGGAGGATTTGAGGTCCCTATAGTCTGTGACCCCATGATATGCTTTGTTTAACAAGGGCAGCTGCAGTTATCAACAGATGTTTCAGCAATAAATAATTGGTATCATCCCAGAAAAGATCTATCTACCTGGGGAGCAGGGATAATGCCACAAACACTGCTCCACTATTACAGCCACATTAATCTCCCATCTAGCCAGGTCTCTGGGGGAGTTTACTGCAGGTGTTTATCCCTGGGGAGAGCAGACAAAACACTCCAAAGTTAGGGAGATTGTAAAGGAGGTCAACCTCTGCCATAAATTTCTGTCTGGGGCCACACACACCAAAGAGAGAAAGAAAATAACTGCCCAAGGATAGCCACTCCCAGCCCTTCCCAAAGGAAATTCAGGAGCTCTGCAATGGGGGATGTGGGCAAGGAGGTGCTGGGGCTCCCACCTCCCAGTTGGCTTTGCTGAGCTTCTAATTGCTTTGTGCTATTCAAAGAAATCATCATTCCCAAACCAAATTTGCTGGGACAGGGCCCTCTGGAGCAGGTGGGATCTCCTGGCCACCTTGGAGTTAACACAAGGCAGGAAAGGGACTGTGTTGGCTTCAGACATGCACCAAAGTAAGCAAAAAGAAACACCCCAAAACCTCCCAAACCTCATCTTTATGCCTGTCCGGCCAAAGGGACAATCCTCAGCCCAGATACTACCTTTAGCATGGAAAAGGGAGTTCTCTATTTGCTACAAGTCATGTCTGACATCCCTCTTGGAAAATCAGAAAAACAAAAAGCAGTCTACATTCCTTGTCATTTTCTAATCTTTAAGCTCAATGGGATCCCCCAAGCACCTTTGGATCCTGCAACTCCTTACATAGCCAAGTATTCCTGACTCACAGGAGAAGTCACATGAAATCCTTTGCAAGGATTTTCCTATAAAGTTTTGGCCAACCTTGTCCCTCAAAAGGATTCAGCCACCTAATTTTCTTGAAAAAAAAAAGAAAAGTAGGTGATGAAGTGTGCAAGTCTTACTGTAGTGAGTAATCCTCATGGCCTTCTCCAGCATGGAGTTAAAGGAGGCACAGAATTCCTTTCAAATTCATGTGGGTTTTTTTTTTTAGTATTGTGTAAACAATTGGAATTTTGGTGTTATTACAATGCCAGTTCTTCAGGGAAAGGGGAAGCATTACCTCAGTGGAAAGAGAAGCAGAACTGCCCTGTGAAAACACAAGAATGGACAAAGTGCCCCAAATGTGTGGGATGAGCACAAAAGTGAGCAGGAAGGGCATAAATCCATGTGAAGTCATTACTGCATGTTTCGATGAATGAGGTGGTTGTCCTGCAAGGACAATCATGGACAATGCCCATGCCCAACACAGATGCTTGCCAAGCAGTTCCTCACCGGCTGCTGCCAAAAAGCTCCCGAACCCACAGGTGACACAACCTCCCAGGGCTCTGTGTACCCCCAGCACCTCAGCAGGACGTTTGACATGACAGGTGTGTTGAACTTCATACCAGCAAGTCAGGGAGCCTCGTGCTGATCATATCTTGCAGATTTGTTTTGTCTTCTGGGCCAAGGTCTTGTTTGTATTGCCACTTCTCCGGCACAAAGGGCCACTTCATTTCCTTTGCCTCCTCCAGAAGGGTCCTCAAGTCCTCAGGAAGCAAAGCTGAAAGGGTCAAAGAGCAGGTGAAGATATTGTACCAGGTTCAACACTTAGAACATCAGTCTTTTCAAAAGACCTTCTCCCAGTTGCTGCCAGCTCTTAGATCTTGTCACCAGCCTCATGGGGAGGGAAGGTGAGCTCTCCTGTTCCCCTTGGCTGCTCTGCCCTCCAGGGAAATGGGAGCCATCAGCCATTAAAAAGGCTTTTAGCAGGAAGTCATGCTCCCTGAATGTGAAGAGACACTCCAAGAGAGACAGAAGGAAACCTGTTCCCTCTGTGTGTGGACTCCTGGCAGAGCAAATGGGGTCAACAGCACAGAAGACCTGTCCCCCCGTGCTCAGGTAACAGTGGCAGAGCCATCTGGAAAAGCCACATGCAAACTGGGAGATAAACCTGCACCATGGAAAGCAATTAGACAGAGATCTAAAGGGTTATATTGAATATCAAGAGCAGAGTTTGGCCCTCCCTGCTCCTTCCCCACCCCATCAGCTTCTGTTGGATCTCAAACCTGACCCAACTAAAGATGCAACTGCCAGTAGGAGCACACAGCTAGAGATCTGGGCTTGGGTTTGCCCTTTCCTTTCAGCTGCAGCCCACATTTAATATTCCAGCAGCAGAGGTGAAGCTGCAGCCTGGGTGTGCTGTGTGGTATGCTAACCACTTGGCTGGGCAGCCTCTCTGGCCAATAAAAGTGGATTAACGAGGATTATTGACCAGATGGGGTTAATGGTGATGATCAGCTGCAGATATAGCCCCTTCTGGCCATTAATCCCCTCCAAAAAACCCTGCTCAGAGACCATCATTGCTTTAACAAGGCAATGCAATACATGTATTACTACATATTTTTAATCAATCCTTTATGGATGGACCATAGAAAACGTACTACCTACAAAGTCTATCTCATGCTCATATTACAGTGCATTCACTGGCATGGTTTTCCTAGGAAAAAGCAGGATATTTAGGGCCCTATTCAAAAAAGTCACCTTTAAAATGATGTTGCTTTTCCCAACCCATGTTTTCTCACTTGTTGCTGTCCCAAGGAAACATGGGGTTTGGAAATCTTCCTGATACACATCCAGGCTTCATGTGCAGCCACATTTCCCTGTTCTCCTGGAGTGGTGTCTGGAGAGGCTCAGCCCTCCATGTCATGGGAAGTTGGCCAAGTTGCAGAGCTGTAGGGCAGAGAAGGTTGTGCTCCTACCCCCGCACCTCTCACTGGAAAATCAGTGCAGGAGCAGGGACAAGCAGGGATACCCAGCTCCTCACAATGAACGCCAAATGATAGACAGAGGGTTTGATCCACTCATGTAGAAGAGGGAAGACTGAGCTTGCCAACATCTTTCCAAAGGAAGATGGTGGGAGGGACTGAAGGCAGTCATGGAAATCCCATGTTTCCTCATATGATCCCATAGGACTGACATCTTGGGGAAGGATCTATCCAAAGAGAAACAGGATGCTTATGGAGCCTTTCTGTCTCCTTCTCTACCTTCTTCTGTCTATCCTTCATGAACTCACTAACTAACACTAAAATGGGGAAAAATAATGGTGTCAGCAGCTATGAAAACAATCAGTGGGATAACATGGATGTTGGGATCCTCTCTAAAGCATAAAGGTATTACAGCTGTCCTCTTGTTCCTGTTTTCCATGCCATTCTTAACTAAACCTTGATCCCTCTCCTACCTGGTGCACTAAAGAACAAAGAATAAGGCCAAATTCTCCAATCTCAGCAGTCACTGCTGCCAAACTGGTTGGAAAGTGCAACCAGGACAACATTTTCAGGAGGATCTGACACTCTGGGAGCCTTCAGTCACCCTTGGGGTTGAACATTTGTGTAGACCTAGCTTTGCGCCTTGCTGTGACATCCTAGTTGTCACCACATGGAAATAAGCACAGTTAGGCTGTTAATGACAATAAAATGATGTTGTATCACAAGAACATCCACCAGAACCACATCAAGGCTGTCACTACATGGAAATAAGCACAACTGGGTTGTTAGTGACAATAAAATAATGTTATATCACAAGGATATCCACCAGAACCACACCAACCACCCGGTGTGAATAGCCCAGAAGCTTTCAGCTAAAAACCAGCTCCCAGGACAAGAGTTTACCCTTGTAACAGAGCTGTTCTAATCACAGGCAATAGAACTAATCAATGAGGGTTGGACTGGCACAGAAGTTGACTGGAATGATATATAAGCCTACAAAGAAATCAGAAAGCAATTCAGACTCATCTAATACGCATTTTCCTCCACCCACTCAAGTGAGATAAGGATGTGCTGTTCCTTTCTCCTCTTCCTCTCCTCTATCATCTCTGTTTGGATTTGGCTGTCAGTCCCTCCTGCTCCCAGTCTGAGAACACCGAGGGGAACAAAGGCAGCCCCGGGAGGAGAGGGGGGTGAAGAAACCCTCTCAGCCTCTGTGCTGTGTGTGTCCCCCCGAAGCCGAGAGCCCCGAGCTGCGAGGCTCTGCCTTCCTTGCCCGGGCAGAGAGCCCCAGCAGTTATTGATGTCGCTGTCACCACCCTGCTGCTGCGGCTGCTCCTTCCAGCTGATGGGAACAGGGTCCTCGGGACAGCCCGAGCGTCACTCCAGGCTCTGATCGCCCATTTCCTCAAGCAGTTTACCTGAAGGACCGTGGCTAATCCAGTGATTTTAAGGCCACTGATTTACCTTAGCTGGAACTAACCTGATTATTTCTCATACTTCGTGGTATTTCATCGGAGAAAAGCAGGGAGGAGTATGGGGGGGGGGGGAAAAAGCATTACCTGATGAGGAGTTCTATTCTTAAGGAGCCATAATAAAACTGAAAGGAATTTGCGACGAGGAAACAAAGTACTCTTTGTGGAAAATAACAAATAAAAGGAGATAAACCCCTTCCAGTATCCATAACAGAAACGTATCCACCACCCTGCAGCACAAACAGACTGAGGTGCTGGAGAAAGAGGCAGCTGAACCTCCCAGCAAGAACAAGGATGGTCGGAAAAAACATCTCCTCAACGGCTCCAGCCCCGGGACAAACAAAGGGGTTTAAAGCTCAAATTAACGCTATGGCCGAGGCACTCAAGCAAAGCAAAACTAAACATTATTAACACCAAACGGGGAAACGGGCAGTGCCTGCAGATGTGTCACGCGAAGGGAAACCTTAATTCCAGCGGAATACATTTATTTTTCACAAAGCCACGGCAATACCCAAAGAAATGCTGGTTTGCAGCAGGTAACACCAGCATTGAAACAAATGCCGAGCCCTTTTATTACAGCTCTTGCTAAACTGCTTCCTTCTCTTATTTTTTCCAGTCTAACCAGCATGGATTTTCCTTTCAAGAGGGATATTGCAAGTTTGGGTGGGGTTTTTTTTCCACTTGGACACCACTTCTAGAGGTCACACACATTTTACAAGATAAAGATTCGGGCAATGAGCTCTTTAATATATGAGGAGAAGCTGACAAACACAGAGGGCCCTCCCCCAGCTCCTATGAAAGGAGAGGAAATATGTGCCCTTATTCCCTTATTCAGGAGTTGCATCCTTCTCTTTTTTTCCCCTTTCTTTTTTTTTTTTAATAACTGAAATTTATGTGCATCAGCAAACTTTTGGGCATTGTTCTGCCCCAAACTAAACTGTTCCTTACAGCCTCATGTTTACTGAAGCCTAAAATTAGAACTGACAGCAATTCACTGCAACAAAGTGGACTTCTTTCCCTGCCTGCCTGCCGCTCCGCATCCCATTCATGGCCTCGAAATCCAGGCATCTCTTGACACTCATCTGCCGAGAGGAAGGAAAATAGGGCAGGGCTGAGGTCCTGCCGCCTCTCCTGGGGATCTCACCTTGGCATCGACGGTATTCCTGCTCGTCTCCCTCTCCCGTGCCAGCCCGTGGCGACAGGAGAGCATCCAGAGCTCTCTCGCACTCCTGCAGCAGCGCGGCCACGGCGTGTTGATTATTCATGAAGGCTGATGGCGCTGGGCTGTGAACTGGGTGTCCCCGGGTGCACGGTGATCAATTACTTAAGAGAAGACACGGATTCGAAATGAAAAGGATCCCTTCAAGGCTGAGGTACCTGGCAAACAAAGGAGAGGAAAAATGATTAACTAAAGTATCATCAATTATCTGAAAGGCTCAAGCAGGGAGAAATAATAGGGGAAATACATGAAAATACATGACAGCCTCGGAGGACTTTATTAGAGGAGTGTGTGAAATTACTGTCCTGGTGACAAAGTGAGAACATCTCTGAGGTGCCAGGGAGATGGGCACATCCATGGAGCTGTGATGTGCAGGGTACCAACACCAAATCCTTTCCAGTACAGTACATCAGATCCTTCCCAGCTACTAGCAGAGCTCTGCCAGCATCTGCTTAAGACTGCTTCTATCCAAGGCTAGCTCTCCAGCCTTGGATAGAATGTTCTTCATGTATATACATGTCTGTATATATGTTCTCCACACATTCACCCAGCCTGTCCTGCATAACATTTCCACTGCAAGTCCTTCAGGTCCTTAGGACATTGCCAATAGTGATGCAGAAACCCCTCACCATTTCCATCCCAGGATGTGGCTCAGCATCTGTCAAAACTTTGGGCAGTTCTCAAAAATTAAGCACAAAGTAAATACTTTGGGTTTGAGTTTTTTTTCTCCCATCAATTTGGTGATGGTTTCACTTGGAAAACTGTTCCCAGTTTGAAGCAATATAGTCAGAACAACCTCTGTGAAAATATATCCAAAATTGAGGAAACAGTGTGGCTGTGAAGGAGGAAAGGGAGTGCAAAGAAACACACACACTCACAGGCACAGTTTGCTCTGCTGGCTAGAAACGACTCATGTTGTAGCAGCTACATTTCCAGGCAGTTTTTTTCTCCCTTTCTGTTGCAGCTCTGGGATCCCTGGATCCTGGAGCTGGTGGCAGATAGCCTGTGCTCTCAACAGCACCGAGTAGGAGCAAGCTGCCAGATTGAAAAGCAGAGGGCAAAAGAGATGCACTCATGCGAAAGCAGAGGGGATCAGAGCCTGCCGTGGAAGGGCAGGTGGAGCAGGGCAAAAGATGGGATTCATCAGCAAAAAGCCTGGAGGCAGGAGCTACTCAGTGACTGACTCTGCAGACAAATGTCAGAGAAAGAGGGAATTTTAAAAGTAGCTGTGAAAGCGAGGGTGAGGGCAGGAGCACAGGCACATAGAAGCAAGTGGAGAGTAAGGAAAAGATCAGCTAGATGCAGAGCCAAGGGATAAAAATTTAGGCAAGGCTAACACTGTTGAATGCTCAGCATCTCCTAGCATCTGAGGCTTGGCTTTGTAATCACAGTGGTGTTTTCTCCTGTCAATGCTCTCTGTGAGACCCACACTGTGGAGAACGTCAGCAGGGCTTCCTTCTCTTCCAGCAGCACTCTGGAGTATGGCATGAGAGAGCCACAAATCCAGGATTTATAGCTGGAGGCCTCTCCTAGCACTTCTCTCCCCATCCTGGTACAGGACATGAAGAAATGAAGCAGAAGGAATACCCAGAAAGGGTTCCCCATCTTTTTAGCTCCAAGTAAGAGCAAGCAGGGCTACCCCACAGAAGATTTGAGCCAGGTGAGCAAAGCTGGGTGCTGGGATCACATCTCTGCAGATGGACCAGGCACAGGGACCATTTAGGAGCAAAAGGAGAAGGGGCCAGAGAGAGAACTGGAGACACAGCACGGTCCAAAGTCCACCCAGGAGATGGGGCTGAACTACCTGCCACTGGCAAAGATCAGTCTCAAAAAAGGCCACCACAGGGATGGGATTTGCTCACAGCACAAGGTCCTAGTCCACATCCCAGTTCACAAATGCCCCCACATCCTAAGGACCTCTGAGTTGGCAGGGACAGACATCTGAACCTGGTGACAACAGCAAGAAAAGCAGAGTCCCCTCCTCCTTCCCTGCCAGGTCTGGAAAAGCTCATCCAGTTGCTGGTTATCCATGAGGGAAAAGACAATCAGCTCTAGTCACAGTGACACACCTATGGTAGTGCTGCTTGCCCTGCTAACTGCACTGACATCTGCTAATTGATTTATCTGATTACCCAGCCCTGTGGGAAGGAGTGTGTGGCTGTCCCAGGAGCACCTCCATGTTGGGATGAAGCATCCCTGCCATCTGGCTCTGACTCCATCCCTTTGTGTAATTGATTTCTCAAAAATCCCTTTTTCCAGGGAGTCCACTTGAGTGGCTACTGAGCAAACATACACCTGCCTTAGATCCACTGTGGACATTAGTCCTGAGAACTGGAAACTGCTCCAAGAGCTAGCAGAAACACATCGGAGAAATCTTGTGTTCAGCTGCACCTCACAGCCCTGGTAAATATATGTTCACAAGCACAATTTGCTGTGAAGATGCACTGAAGCAAACAAGCACTGTGATATTTCCCTTTACAACAACTAACATGGCATTAAGAGTATCCATATGGACACACTCAGCTTCTTTATCTTGCAGCCCAGAGCCCAGAATCACACTTTTAAGCCCAATTTGTGTAGTGCCACATCCTGGAAGATCACTTTTGGGTCTTTACTGTAAGCAGGAGGGCCCTGTGGCTTTGTGAGCCCTGCCAGTGACACAGAGGGCTTAGCAGGGAAGCTCAAATTAGTGTGGAAGTACAGCACTTGGCTCCCTTGGATTGTGAAGGTTTAACTCCCCAGGAAACTGCCAGATCCATAACAGTGATATATGCATGTCAGCAAGGGAGGAATTTTTCTTCCCAAGTACATTTTTCCAAAGGATTGAATAAACAGCAAGGACACCGGGAGAAATAGGTGATGATTTACAGCAACACCACAGTGCTGGAACCATACAGAAAAGTGCAATAAACTGTACATTAGCCCTCAGAAGGTGGGGAGGCTTTTGAGACCCATCACTGGAGACAATGACTTGCATCATAAAATCAGCTTCAAATGCACCAAAGAGCTTGAATCTGCAGCAGCATCCTTGGCACAGATGCCACTTCTGTGACAGCTGTGGCACTGAGTGACAGCTGGGAGGGGGAAATAGCCAAGCACTCAGCTCATAGACCTGGGGCAAAGACAGGACCTGAAACTAAAGCTGAACAGTACAGCAGCAAAAACTTCTGGAGGCCTTTAGGACCCCCTCAGTGGTTACTAATCAGCTTTCTTATAGTTCCCTTAAATCCTAACAAATGATGCTTTAGGGGGACTTAAGGTTTGGAAGTGATAACTGCAGCTTGATGTGCTGCAAAACTGCCTGGACAAAAATGCTCACTAAGGATGCATTTAAAAATGCTCTTTCAAAGCTCATAATAAAGACAATTTTGCATCAGGTTGAGGAGTTCACTTTTGCGGTGACAGGAAAGCTCCTTTACTGCAGTTTTGGGCACAGACAGTGTTTAAATGCTTGTTGTAATTGTTAGATACCTTAAAACAGGAGCTATGGAAAGAAAATCTGTGCCATTTCTGGCTGGAGCCTGGATTGAAATCACTCCTCACATCAAATATGATGAAAAAACATATTCCAAAGGTCTCAGGGGATGAGAAAATCCATTTCTGTGGTTGTCTCCTAATTGGAGCTTGGGTTTAGAGCAAGAGGGATGGAGGGAAGAATTGGGTGGGCTAGCGCCAAATGATCTCTTGAATAAGAAATGGGCCATACTGTGACATTTCAGAGCCCTTGGGCTAAAAGACCAAAAGATCTGTCAAAGAGAAAGGAATTTTAAGTTCTGCCCTAGGTGGAAGGAAGCCTGGGAGTCAATCTAGGCAGTTTAAGACTGCAATTAGCTTTGGGGGCTTGAAGAGAAAGAAGATGTAATTGCTGCATTGAAACTTCAAATGCAGCAAAGCATAACAAGCCTTGGTTTCTCAGACAACATCATTGGGGAAATTTTCCACAGCATTATGGCCCTGAAACACAAATTAGAGATCACCAGACCTTTTCTCCCTGAAAATATATTGTCCTAATTTTCATCTTATTCAGCCTTCCCTCCCATTCCAGGGAGACTAATGAAGAGGAAGCAAAGACCTGATGAGTTCCATGTGGAGACTACATTTATGTATTAATCCCAACAGGGAGCAAATAAACCTTACTCCCAGAGCTCTCAGTTGGGACTCAACACAATCAATCGAGGGACGGATAGTTATTTATGGCTGAAGCTGTTTTGACTTTCAAATAAACATTTTAATTATTTTAAGTGCTACACTGGAACTTAGAGTCTGAGCCTTGTTTCCATTTGGATGCCTTGCTCTCCTCCCTCCTAATCCCAAACCACTCTGGTCATTAGGATACTGTGCAAATGATACTGATTTTCATGCCTGTAACATTGGAAAGTGTTTGTTAAGGTAAAATCTGGTTGGACAAACTAGGGAGAAGGATGGGGGAAAAGGAAGGAGCAAAAGGGAGGAGGATCCTTCTGAGCAGAACTAGTAGTATAAATGACAGGAGCACCCTCAAACTACACTGAGCCTGAAGAAGCAGAGATGCCCTACTCTCAAACAACTCTGTAACCATGTTGGCACATCCTGATCTATCTTTGTAGCCTGCTTTTCTCTGCCTGCTCTGACAACCATCTTTAATAACCAAAGCACTCAATAGTGTTGCTTTTCTAACAGCTCATTTTCAATTCCAGTCTCTGCACCCACTAGCTTTTCCCTCCAGCCTAATTATATGTCCTGTGTACCTTCTCCATGTGGCTTCCCTAAGGTTAATGAAGCCACACTCACTTTTAGGGGAGATCTTTAAACTGTTAGAGTCTTTTGCTAGATAGAGACGGGTGAAATCATGACACAGAGGCAGTGCTGGATCTATTCTAGCTGAGTTATGGTCTCATCTTCACTCCATATTAATACACTTTATCTCTCCTTGCTGCAGGGAGACTGAAAAATGAGAAAGGATTGTGCCTGGAAGAGCAATGGGATATTGAGGGTGGTGTTTTTACCTGCAGCAGGTAACAGGAGGCATGTACATCACATGGCACACACAGCTGCTCTCCCTCCTGT